TTTTTTTTTTTTGTATTTTAGGGAAGGGTCTATAGGGTGTTCAGGGTCTCACTACTAGATCAGACTCGTAGTGATCCACCTGTTTACAGCCTCCCAAGGATTACAGAATTAATTTTTTTTAATTATAGACCTCAACATCATATATTTCATGGTTGTTCAGGCATGCAGATATAAGAGCTTTTTTTAAAAAAAACAATTAAATTCTGAAAAAATTACACCCAGTCTCATTCATCCCGGGGGCAGGGCCAGCATGGCAGACCGGGGATCAAATCCCGGCCCCTGTGTCTGCTTGCAGGTGCTTTAATCTGCTCAGCTATATGACCAGCCCTGGTCTTTTCAATAGGTATCAACACAAAGATTCAACAAGTTCAAGTCTTGAACAGAATGAATGAATGAATAAATAAATAAATAAATAAATAAATAAATGCATACTTTGCACCAGCATAGTAAAACTACAGGCCAAAAGAGAAAAAAACAGTATTTAAGATACCTGATGATGAAAGACAAATTAACTTTAAAAGAGCAAAATTTAGATCTGAAATTTCAAACTTTGGTTTAAAATCCAGGATTTCAGATTCACTAGGTCTAGGGAAGTGCCTAAGAATTTTATTTATAATAAATTGACAAGTAATATGCATGTTTTTGGCATAATAAAGTGCTAAGTTGAACTAACAGAAGAAATATCAAAAGCAACAGGGAAAGCCAGAAGATAATACTGAATGAAAACCCTATCATTCAAGAGTAAGTGTGAAATAAAGATTTTTGGATATAGAAACACTGACTTTATTATTTATACATCCTTACTGAATGAACTGTTAAAAAGTGTACTTTAGGAATAAACAAATTGAATCTAGAAAGAAGTGGGATATAAGAAGGCATGATTAGCAAAGAAATTGGTTTTGATAAATCTGAACAAACATTAAAAATAATTTATAATGAAATAATAATTAAACAATGTCTTCTGTGCTATGTGAATGTATGTGTGTGGTATTGGGGATTGAACCTCAGATTTTATAAACTGTATCTCTGGACTTTTAAATTTTTTTTTGAAATACAGTTTCAGGGGCCAGGGAAATGGCTCAGTAGAATAAGCGCTTCCCTGGCAAGGGCAAAGGTCTGAGTTTAATCCCTGGTTCCAACAGAAAAAAAAAAAGAAAAAAAACCCCCAACTTTCCTTTCTTTGGGGCTGGCAAGATGGCTCAGTAGAATAAGTTCTTCCCTGGCAAGTGCAAGGGCCTGAGTTCAGTCCCCAGTTCTGCAAAATAAATAAATAAATAAATAAATAAATAAATAAATAAATAAATAAATTTCTGAAATAATAGTTTCATTAAGTCACTATATTGCTCAGGGGTCTGGAACTTGGATCTTCCTGTCTCTGTATCTTGAGTGCTAGGATTATAGGCAGGCACCACTATTCCCAGTTAATACCTTCTTAAAATAACCAATGGATCACCAAAACCAGATAAATGAGAGTACAAATAAAAATGAAAATAATGTACTCAGTCATGGGACATAGTAAAGCTAGAGATAAGATAAAAGTGTACAATATGGCAGATTACACTTAAAAAAATGAAAACTCCTCCTCAACAGTTTAACCTGTACATTCTCCTTAGAAATCTGAGTAGAAGCTTCTATTACCCTGCAACTCTTATATCTGCACGCCTGAACAACCATGAAATATATGATGTCAAGGTCTATAATAAGCTCCAAGGATGCCCCTTTGGACAATGTCTGAGGAGTTCTCTAAGAGCCTGGATAGGTGAATGTGGTGAAATCAAGTTATAGTCAGTAGCTTTAGTCCTGATGGTATTAATAAAACAAGCGTTTTGTTTTATTAATACCATCAGGACTAAAGCTACTAAAATGTTAAATATTACAGTATGTATTTTTTACCACTAATTTTTGAAACCATTTTCTTTTTTGTATTTTAAAACAATGTTAAGCAAATTAATAGCATGGACATAAAAAGAAAGTACTCATAATTTAAGTGTTTTGAGGTCTTTTTATGTTAGGAAGGAAATTATTGTTGCTTATTAATTTTGGAATTTGCAGTGTGAAGCATGTAAATAACAAAGTCAAGACCAACCAGTAAAGAATAAAAAAAAACCCTATGATTTCTGAACATGTATTCTGTATTTGGAGCTCTAAATATAACAGTATTAAAGTATTTACATTTATTATTTATTTACTACAAAGTATTTGGTAAAAATATACAAGCACTTTTAGAAGAAACAGAAAAATTTGGGTGGAGTTTTATTTATTTGTATTTTAGAGAAGGGTCTACAGGGTGTTCAGGGTCTCACTACTAGATCAGACTCGTTGTGATCCACCTGTTTACAGCCTCCCAAGAGCTGGGATTACAGGCGTGTGCCACCACATCCAGTCTCAATTGCCATCTCATTGCGCCCCAGGGGGTCGGGCCAACACATCAGGTCTGGGGATCAAACCCAGGCCCCTGTGCAGGTGCTTTAATTCACTGAGCTATTTGGCCGGCCCTTAGGTGGAGTTTTAAAACTATAGTTAAAATATCATTATTTTAAACATGTTCATATTTTGAATTATTGAAAGTGGGTTCATAAGTATGTTTTATACTTTATATTTTAAATATTGTATAATTTTTAAAGATTAGAATTATAAAACATTTTGGAAAACATTACATGTTTATTAATTTTTTGGAGGAAGGATAATTACAAATTTGGAAGAAATAAACACAAAATATGAGAAATATATCGCTAAAACTCCTGAACATCACAGAATTCTATGGCTAAATTCACAAGATGAAAGTCTGGCTTGGAAAAAACTGTGTTCAGCAAAGGTGACCACAGTGGTATCCTGGTGAATTATCAGTTGGTTCCAGGAAGCGCAATAGTACCAAAATCTTAGGGTATAAAAACATTGTTTTGCTCAGAAAGGGGTACAGATGAGAGGCAATCCCCTAGGTCAATTCTAGTTCATCCATTCAGTGCCAAACAATGAACACCAGGACAAAATTTTTACATTAAGATGCGAGCACCAAACTCAATGAATTTCAAAGCAGTAAAGACTCAAAGTATGGCTGTACATATAAAGAAAAGCTGTGTATATGGGGAGATGGTAATAATACAAAAGGTACAGAAAATAAGACTTACAAAAATCAAACACTTAATTTATTTATTCTGAATTTGAGATTGTTGGTAAGGAACAACCCTGAAGGAGATGAAGGGACGTGTAGGAAGGTCATCTTTGCAATAAGGCAAGTCAGAAGCTCTGGAATGTCTGCTAGGAGGGTAGTTATGTTCCTGTTGGATTTTGTAGCCATTTTTAATGACTATCATAAAATCTCCGCAACAATGACAATTACTGTGAATGAGATGTTAAAAGAAAATGGGATAAGAGCTGCGGCAACAGCAAGCACAACACTCTAGAGAATGCAAAATCAGGGTTTAATCTGGATAAGGAGACTACGAAGGAAAATATGAGGTGGGTGCCAAAAAAATTCAATAATCAAAATAAATTTTATTTTAAAGGTCAGAATTAATGTGAAAACTTCCATTATGGGAAAAATTCAAAATTTTAAATAAAAGCATAAACTGAACTTGCACTTGCCTCTCCCTGAAATGTGCCTGGTTTGACTCAAATACATACCAAGGATGCTGTCTTTTTCAAAATTAAATGTTCATTACTGATATTTCTGCACTGATTTTTAATTAAGGGGGAAAAAAAAAAACCCCTCATTGCTCTAAAGTGCCTTGAACTGGTGGCCTGTTGCCTTCGCACCTCTGGCGACCGCCTCCTCTTGCCTCGGGCTGCATCCTACACCACATCATGCGGTAACCACGTATTGCCGGGGCGGCGCACTTACGTGTTCAGTGCTGAGGTCCTAAATTATAAGTAGAGTTCTCGAGATTCTCAGGACTCAGAGCAGGCGGCTTAAATTTACCTACCCAGAAGGAAGCCCCATGACAAGGGAAGCGGGAGGCCTAGGGAACCGCCTTCGCGCCTCACCATGAAGCGCAGGTTCGCCCCTCCAGGCGAGACCTGGCCGCGGAGCTCATTGTGGAGGTCCACATACTCATTGATGAAGTCTACGTCTTCCTCGTGCGGCAAAAAATTGGCACTCGGTCCGGAACCCAACAGAAGTATCCACAACTCACAAAACCACAGCTTCCAAAACCTCCCCAGCACCAGAGGCAGCAATTGCGAGCACCATGCCAGGTGGACGGGCCTCAGCGCTTTCATGGTCCACCAGCACCGTACGCTGCCTGCGCATGCGCCAGCCCACCCTGCGCCTGCCCAGCTACGGATGCCGCGGGGAAGGCTGGGTACCAGAAAGCGGAAGAGGAAGTGGAGGGACAGGGCGAGTCGCAACTTCCGGGTGGAGCAAGCTCGCAGTAATTGCTACCTACTAACTGAATGGGGGACGACTTAAATGAGTGCTGTACAGGCTTTTCACTGTTCTAGTCTCGCAAAGTATCGTTATCTAGAGTTGATTTCTGAAATAGGACGCTGGGTCTTTGTACTTGTAAGTTTGTATGACAAATGCCAGCTGCTGAATAATATGTTTGAGGACTCTTCTACCTATGCAACGGAAAAATGGTTTCTGGATTGCTGATAAAAATTCAATTAACCTTTTTTTTTTTCAATCCCTATTCATTGAGTTAGAGGTTTGCAGCATAATTCACCATTTATTCATTTGTTTATCGTGGGAAGAATAATGTCTTTAAGGCAGACTTCTTTGAGATTTTTTTTCTTCCAGGTTTTGTTATTTTAAATGAAACTTCATAGAAAACCAAATGTAAGAGCAGAAAGCTCAAGATTTAGAGATGAGAGTATAGATCATCCAAGGTCACATAAAGATAGAATGTTTCTATTCTTTCTCACCAACACTGTTTAGAAAGATTGCTCTAGAGGAGTTAATGTTCATGTTCTTGACTGACAAACTGTCACATTCACAGTAGGCAAGAACTCATTTTTTGTTTTGTCTTTCACACAAAAATGGCTAACAGTTTATCAGATTTTGACCTGGTGTATCCCAGCAAACATTTTGGTCTATAAAAAAATGCTTTGAGGAGTTTAAATTCTAGGCATCAAAGAATTGTGTCTGTTGTTTTAGAGTACACATTTATATTTTACATATTAAGATAGCTAAAAGCACTAACATTAGGACAGAATTTTGCCACAAAGAAAAGATTGTAACTAGTCAGATAAAACATATAAAGAGAAAAATACTTTCAAAATCATCTTCTGTTCAACATAATTAAAAAGCAATATACCTATAAAATGAATTCCTTCATGCATTTATTCTTTTAATGCATATTACTAAGTGTGCCTTGGCATTGTGGTACTGATGGCCTAAAGAACAAATTAGGAAGCATTTATATCTTGTCTTTTGAATAAGAAATTCTAGATAATTGGAATAATAGTTATCATAAATGTTTGGTAGAATTAATAAGTAGCATTCTGGATCTCATGCTTTCTGTTTTGAACAGCCGATTAAATTTATGTCATTGATATGTGCCTATTCAAAATGTCTACTGCTTTTTGTGTGAGTTGTAGAAGATTGTATCTTTCAAAGAATTGATGCATTTCATTCCTAAAAAAATCCTTTTAATGTCTATGAGATCTCTGTAGTGATATTCCCCCCCCCCTTTTTTTTTGTATTTTAAGGAAAGGTCTAGAGGGTGTTCAGGGTCTCACTACTAGAACGGACTCGTAGTGATCCGCCTATTTACGGCCTCCCAAGAGCTGGGATTGCAGGCACACGCCACCACACCCAGTCTCAATTACCATCTCAGTGGGCCCTAGGAGCCTGGCCGGCATGGCAGTCCTGGGAATCAAACCCTCCAGCCCCTGGACCTGCTTGCAGGTGCTTTAATCTGCTGAGCTATTTGGCTGGCCCTCGCTGTTCACTTTTGTATTAGGAGTTTATGTCCTTTTGTTCCTTAACCAGAGTAGGAGCTTATCAACTTATTGTTCTTTTCAAAGAAACATCTTTGAGTTTCAGTTATGTTCTGTTTCATTTTTATTGAGTTTTGGTCTAATTTTATTATTTCTTTTCTTGGTTCCAGGAATTGAACTCATGACCTTGAACTTGGCAGGCATGCACTGTGCCACTGAGATATCTCCCTGGCCCATTATTTATTTTCTTGTTCTTACTTTGGATTTAATTTGTTTTTCATCTTCTAGCTCCTTAAGATGAAAAGCTTGAATGAATTTAAATCTGTCTTCTAACTAGCAATGCTGCTCAGTATAAATGCAGTTTTTCTAATATATCTATTCAGTCTCCCTTTGAATGCTGATTTTGCTCCCTCTCATACATTTTTAAATTATGTGTTTATTTACTTCAAATATTTTGTAGTTTCACTTGGGATTTCATTCTGAAGTACATTATTTAACCTCTATGTGTTCTGGAATTTTATAATTATCTTTCTGTTATTGATTTGCAGTTTAATTTATCATTGTCCGGGAACAAACTATATGATTTGTTACTGTTATCTTTCTGTTTGTTGATTTGCAATTTAATTTTTCTTTGTCCAAGAACTATATGATTTCTCCTCTATCAAATGTTAATTTTTTTTTAAGCTCCAGAACGTAGAGTACACTGATGAGTATTCCAAGGGAGCTTGAGAAGTGTGAGTATTCTGTGACCGTGGGGTGAGGTAGTCTCTAGATGTCAGTTACATGTAGTTCACTCATGTTACTTTTGAATTCAGTTCTGTTCTTGCTGATTTTCTGCTTGCTGGATCTGCACATATATAATGAAAATGTGGTGAAGTTCCTAACTGTAACAGTAAATTTTTCCATTTCTTTATCTATACTTTCTGTTATATTTTTGATATCTTATTAGTTGTATGCTTCTTGAAGAATTAACTCTTTTGTCATAACATAATACCTCTGTGTATTCCTAATAATAACTTTTCTTGCTCTGAAATGTCTGTGCCTGAAATTAATATAACTAGTATGATTTAGTAATTATTCATTTTTTGAATTTAAAAGATTATTTATTTATTTATATATTTGGTATAGGGTCTCACTATTCAGCTGGGACTTATAGTGATCCTCATGTCTTAGCCTCCCCAGTATGGGATTACAGGCATGCACCACCACATCCAGTTTTGATGGCTGGCATTGCATGCAGTGCTGGGGATCAAAATCTGGTCCTCGTGCTTGCCAGACAGGCACTTAGGCTGTGGAGCTATCTCCCTGGCCCATCTTTTGCTTAGTATTTAGAGCTAGTTTCCAAAGGCAGGTAACTACATAGATGTATAAAGGTAAGAGCGTGCAAAGATACCCAGATGATTTACTGCAGAACGAATAGGGTTTGCTGAGAACGTT